TCTATTATATTTTATTATTATATGTAACCAAAGTGTATGGCTAACATGAGTAATTTTAGTCCTTTGCTAGTGTATGGAGTGCAAAATTCCATATAAATCTATACTATACAATTTTTTTTTCTCTGCTTATTAATGCTGTACATTTTTTGTGTGTGCTCATTTATTCTGTACAATACTTTTCACCTTATGTTCTGTATTACAGGGGAAAGATATTCTGGAAGATTATGCTGCATCTGTGACTGTGCGAGGTTTAATGCATGCAAACCATGAAGAACAGAAGGGCAGCAGGTGGAGGCCGCTGACAAGACCAGTGTGGTACAGTGTCGTAAAGAAAAGCCAAGAGCACTTGTCAGCATTAAGAGCCGAACACCGAATGGCCTCGTTCACCTCTGAGGAGCTTACAACTGTGGTTGTCCCACTGCAAGCAAAGATTTTTGCCGCGACCAGAAGAGGTTAGTGAGAAAAAGAGAAAAGATTGTGAATATTTCATGGGTATATACAGCATATAAACTCCCATATATATGTAATTGTTTTCAACCATTCTTTTTGAAGATTAGATTAATTAAGAAATAAGAAGTCTTGAAATGGTTTTACTGAATGGCTGATGTGATTTTAGCCATCTTTCAGCATTAAGTGTTTGTCATATTCAAAGATTGTATTTTTCTTCTGATAAATTTATGGAGAAGAAAATTGCATCTCAAAAGGATAAAACAATGTAGTTTATTCTGAGGAGAGAGAGGGAGGGAGGGAGGGAGAGAAATGGTAGGATATATTATATTACAGATATTTTAGCTACTAATATATTTGTAAAGACAATTAGACCTTTATTGTTTGTATATTTATTTTTTCAGTGGGGTTTTGCATTTTTTAATGTATTTTTATCATCTACTTATTTTCTTACTTGTGTTTCCCCTTTTCAATATTTTTACATACTATCTGATTTTTTTGCTTTGTTTCATGTTTCTTCAGGACACTTCTCCTTGACAAGGGAAATCGGCTCCTTCTCAAATATCCAAATGAATAACTCTTCCGGTGATCAATTAGACGAGCACGATGCGAATTCTTCGTCGTAGAAGACGAGGAACCAGATCGAGGAGCAGTGAATGATGATACGGAGAACAAAGACACCGAAGTTGATTTGTTAGAAAACCAAGAGCCCAGTGATCCTGATGAAGACTTCAGAATTGATGAATTTGATGATTAAAGCCTCAAAGAAGGATAACTGAATATATTGTAATTGTAATAAAATTATTTCTGGAAATGTGTGTATGCTTATTCCTTTTTTTACTCCGTTCTTTGATGCAAGTTTTGTAATAATGTCTTTTAATAGTGTAATATATGTACTCTTATTTTTACATATGTAATGATTACTGTGTTTTATCTGCCGGATATTTTAAGCATTAGGTGAAAATATATATAGTTTCTTGAATCATTTTGACTTTGTATGTGTATCCATACCACTGTCTTATGCACACTGTTCATAAATTAACAGTATGACCTATTCTATTAAATTACTTTTAGGATCTTGCCCTCTGTAGCAGTTCTGAACAAGAGAGAAACTGGCCATCTGAGATAAGCGAAAGTCTCATGTATATGAAGAGAAGAGTGTCAGGAGGGAGGAATCTGGAGAAGGACACTGTTGCGACAGAAGGGATTTATGTGAGTTTCCAGGTGGGAAAGATAAGGATAATGGGGAACGAAGAGAGAACGGTGCAGATGGAGGAAAGGATGGGGTGTGTTGAGAAAAAGAGGATGGATAGCAGCAAATACTTTAAATGTGAGGGAAAAGAAAATAGAGGGATTGGAGGGTGGATAGGTTGTCTAGTGCAATGGGTAAAGTGAAAAGGAAGGATAGGCATCGGAGACATGGTAGAGATCGAAGTATCCAGATTTAGACTGGAAAAGACTAGGGAGAGGGGGAACAGAGATAGGATGGTTCCAGGTAGAGGGAAGAGATACTGGGGGAGATACAGACATTTTGAGAAGATGGGAGAGCAGCAGAGTGAAGGACAGTTTTGGAATAAGTACAGTAGAGTGAGGCCTAGTCTGAATCTGAGAACTAGTACTTCACATTCAAGCTTATTGGCAGGGCAGCTCTTATAAAATATATAATGGGAGCCACCACAATTGGCTTGGAACTGACCAAGAGGAGATTGATATTTTACAGTATGTAATTTATTAGTGTGGAGACTTGACCAGAAAGATCAGGTATACAAGGTCTTAAAGTGGGTATAATAATCGTGGCTGGAATATGTGAGGGATAAATAAAAGAACCATTCTGCATTCATTTTAAATGTTTTACATATATAAAAATCAAGAGAGTAAATAATTTCTCAATGCTACAGGCCTCTCATCGTAAAAGAAAATGAGTTACATATGTATTACTCAAACCATTACAATAAAAAGATATACTCTAATTTTTTTTTTTTTTCTGCATCTGAAACAAGGAGGGTGTTAACTCCTTTTACAAACTGCAATATTCACATTTTAATACTAAATCTATCTGGAGATTTTGTACATTTACTTCTTGCATAGGAGGTTTTCGTCACTCATTCTACCTAGCGCAATACAAGCAGTCGTATTCATATTCATGACGGTTCTTACCCTAACTTGCACAGGGCAGCTACAACACTAGTATTTTAACCTTTGCATTCACGGTACTATGTCCAATTAGATTCTCGTGGCAAACCACTACTCATGGTAATTAGGTAGTGAATTCGACATGAGCTTTCACATTCTCCACCTGAAAACATGCAGAAACACAATACTCAACTGAAATTATATGACGACTTTTTTGACGTTCTTTTTTTCTATCACACAAACTTATGCTTTTTGTTTTTCTTTTTTTCTTTTTTGCTGTAGCTCTTTCACACACAAATATATTGTCTATCCAGAGAACATAATACTTTCTTGACACAGAAAATGAACAAATAATTCTGCAGTGTAAGATGTATAATTAAGGTTTCAATATTACTTCTTCGTTAGAATCAAGTAATTCAGATGCATACGCAATATCGAAACATTCATTGCAGATGGTCAATGCAGAATCATTCATTCTCATTCACACCTTTTCTACATTTGCAACCATGAACTCTCTCTCCTCTTCTCTGTCCTCATCCCTATTTCTCCCTAACGCCAACCTACGATCTCTCAACCACTACTATAAATAGCCTTATACACTTCAAAAGATGGAATGACATAAAGCGGAATCGAGAAAGCGGTTCAGTTAACAAGGCTCTCTGCAAACTTAACAAAATAATCTATACAGAAATAAATTACATTACAACATTAAAATACAAACTAGAAGATCCGATAGCTTTAGCTCCACAAGTGAGTGAATAATTAAAAAAAAAAAGTAATTGAAGACAGAAAATCACATATCTTGTAGGCAATAATCATCCTACATCATCATCCCCCCCCCCAACACACACACAGCAAGGAAAATACAGACGGAAAAAAAAAAAAAACATCAATAAATAAATTATCGTTCAACAAAATATACATATGCATGTAATAAACAGACACCAATTATCTTTGGACTGTACAATGAGTGTTCACAGCAATTGAGTCACAGCAACTTTTTATTTATTTATCATATTTTCTAACTAAAATAACAATCCCACATATTACTATAATCGTCCTAAATATCGCGACTTTGGTTTCCACTTGGTTGACTGCATCAGGGTATAGTTGAGATAAGAGCAGTGCTGTTCCGTGACGAAGGGGACGTAGAAGGCACGCAATAATCTGTGAGATCTGGGTGAAGGGAAAGGGGGCATGAGAGGTTTAATAACATTAGTAAAAACAAAATGTCACAAACAGCCAGAGTAAAACGATATGCTGAAACAGGTAGAATAAAAGCTTTTGCCATTTATGTGACTCTTTCTACAAACCGATACATTTACGCAACCAACCTTTGTGCATCCATAAAAGGGACACTATGGAGAGTTATCCAATCCGCAGTGCGTTTTGTATATCTCGGCTCCCTTTCCGTCTCTTCTTCTCTGTCTAGGTCGACCAAGAAGTGACAGGAACTTAAGGGTATCTGTTGATCGTCCCCCAAAATGCAGCATTTATTAAATTACTTGAAATATGCATGTTAATTCTCAATAAATAAATAAATTAGTAGTATCAAATGTTATCTAGCCATTAAACTGTACTATATCTAGAATACAAAAGGACATTCTTGGAGGATTTAAAGATTCAAGATTTAAAAGTTTTAAAAATCTTCCAAGTCCCATTTATATGGTAAAAGTTGTGGTTAAATTCATATATCAATAAAAAAAAAGAAGACATTTAATTGTACATACATATCTCGACTCCTCTTCCTTGTTCATGTCGTTCATATTCTCAGGAATGACTAGGGTTCCATTGGCCGCCTCCGAATAAGGCTGGGGAAGTTGCCCTCGGAACTCGCTCTCAATGAACTGTAAATTCCAACTGCAAAAAAGGAAAACAAACACACAATAACAACTGCAATAATTGTAAACAAAGATCCTTCTCAGTTTCTTCACATGTTATAACAGACCTTTAAACAAATCCCAGAGTATTCTAAACAATTTTCCGCTTACATAACCACTATGATCTTAAAGACAAATAGATACATAAAACAAAATTACTAAAAAACGCAGCACACAAACTACAATGTTTCTTCCTTAGAACTCACTTTAAACCTGGAAGGAAGAAAGAGGACGGGAAACGGTGCCACTCCTTCCCTACGCAGAGGTTGATTGGCCGGTCGGTCGGGAAATTCTCTTCCACAGCCCGTCGGTTCAGCTCCATGAACGTTTCCAAGGGTGCATGGTAGGCTGTTGAAAATCATTTTAGATAACTAGTAGGAATATAATATCCTCAGCTTGAAAGTAACATCCTTAACCTGGGAATGTTAAAGTTTAGAAAGATTTCACATACCACAAATTTCAAAGTAATTACACAAAAGAAATAAATGAAAATTGTATTCCAATAAATTTTAGACAATACATGATTAACAAAAATATTCAATTACCTCTTGCAACACAAGGCAACAAAACTAAGTACATTATAAAAAAGTAAACAAATAAACCAACAAGATTACAAAATAGGTAAATGTTTATAAAATAAACAAATATATGATAAAATACAAAACATACCTCTATACTGTCCAACAATACGCGAGAGGCTTAGCACCGATGTCACAATAACAATGCAAATTGCAAACCAATTCGTGTGATGTAGGTAATGTTGTCGTTTCACCGATAACAAGAACGAGCCTAGTTTCTGACAGCAGTCTGCAAGGAAATAGGAGAAAAAAGCTTTGGTAAGGAGAAAATACTTAAACTTAACTATGGAATTCAACTTTTCTATCTGTTCTCAATCATCATACTTACAGTTGTATGCTTAAAGAAATTGTGGAACCCACTCTTTGAAGCAGAAAATCCTCTACTAAGGAATAATACCACAAAAAATAACTGGTGAACCAAAATAAAGCGAGAGGATAAAAAATGCATTTTTGAAAATTGTGCCAAGAATTGATTTGCGTTCCACAATTTCTTTAAGCATAAGACCATTAGATTGAATGAAATGTAATAAAAAAGAAAGAAAAAGAAGAAAAACAAAAACAAAAGCACTTCAACACTAATTTCATTATGTATTTGCAGCTGTAACAAAACATTTCACCCAAATGAATATATTAACTGTTCTTTCACATTCCTGAAATTGATATATAAATGTAATACAACATAAAAATTGTTTTCTGTAACACCACATTTTACATGTGCAATCATTCACAGCTAATATCATTAGTACTAATGAAAACAAAAACAAACTAAAAAGGACAGAAAGACACAGACAGATAGTATATACATTCTTACCTTCCCCCTTGTGTCTATCTTCATCACCAGAATTCTTGACAACTATTACATCACTACTATCAAGATGATAAGTATAATCGTCTCCTACAAATATGCGAGGAACAGCTCAAACAACGGAAAAAAAGAGGACTCAACCCTCCCCTACCGATGGTTATGGCTCCGGCAAGGCAGATCAGCGGATAGACTGGGAAAAGGAAACGCTCTTCCTTATGTGGCTGCAGGATGAAGACGAGGAGCCACAGGTAGAGCGGGGACAAAGTGAGCCACAGCGGGAGGTACATGCTGCTTTTCTTCGGCAGCTGTACTAAATAAGACACCAGGGTCTGTTGAGGATGGGAGGAAGATATTAAAAACTTAAAAATTAGTACATTATGCAGGTTCTGCCTCATGGCAAACCACTACACAATATCACATATCTCACATTGCTATCTTAATAAAAAGAAAGAAAGAGAAAGAGAAAGAAAGAAAGAAAGAGAGAAAGAATGAAAAACCTCATAAACATCATCATCAAAGATTTTCAAACACAATGAATAACAAGAGCTCACAAAATCCAAATAAGTACAGCATATCATTATGTCATTTCTTTTCACCGTAATTTCCATTTAGTGAAAATAAAAAACTATTCTTTACTTTTGTATACATGCAACAAATTATATCAAATATAAACATCTTTACAAATTTCAAGGACATAAAATTGCAAATGAAGGACGGTCATTAATAAACTAACTCCTCCTATCCTGAATATGACTATATAAAATACTCCCACAGCATTTACTTTAACAAAATAAGACATTCAGCACTTACATACATGGGAAGCGATGCCAGTGCTGCTAAAAACACGATATTAAAATTCAGGAATCCATTGACCATGTAAAAACTCCATGGTTCCGTGCCATACAGATCGGGACCGTGAGAGGTGAAAACATTGTACTTCACGATGTTTAGAGGAGCAATGACCAAGCTGCCAAAGTAGTGAGAATCTATCTGGACCATTGGGACCTGAAAAGATGCGTTTGAAAATATTTATACAATATGATCACAAATAAAGGCATTTTCAGCATCATTCTCCATTCAACCTACCATAATATTCTTTTATATATAAAAGTAGACATTTCATTATTTCTATACACATACCCACCCATACATACACAAAAAACACACAAATCTCCTCCTCCTACATACATATAGATACATAGACAGAGAAAATAGATATATATGTAAATATAAATACATTATATATGAGATGAAGATATAGATATATAGATACAGATATACACTGAGACATCGATATAGATATAAATAAAAATATAAATGTAGATATAGACATTTAGACATATAGGACGACCAATCCTTTGCTGTTAAAAGTGTACATATTACACTAGTAATACCTGAAACTTTACTGTAAGTCCAACGGCAAACATGTATTCACTCACCAGAATAGTGACCATGGATATTATGCACCATTTGACAAACATGAAAATCTGCTGCTTGCGAAAGACAATGTCATATGCGATGGGGATTCTGTGGGAAAAAAAAAACTCGTGGTGAAAAAGGAGAAGAGGGAAAGAGAAAGAGGAATGAGAGAGAGAAAAAAACAAGAAAGAAAGACAGAAAAGATACTTCTGTCTATCCTTTTCTCCCTTCCTCTGTCCCTTTCTCTCTCTCCAAATATAATATATATACATAAAACATGTGCACAGGGTAGGCTTACAATACATTACAAAAATATGATTTATATAAAGGAGAAAACACACTGAAACCACAAACATTGCTCACCCTATGGCAGCTGCAAAAGGCCAGCCAAGGAAAGTCGAAATAGCAGTAGTAAAAATGGCAAGTTCGTAACTCTGGTGATACCAAGCTCCCATCGACATGAAAGTCATGTACCTGAATGAAAGAGATGGATATGTGGGCGTTAAAAGGGATCTAAAATCTTTTCTAAGAAAAAGAGAGAGCCTATAAAAATCTTGATACAAAAGCATATAAAATTCAATTAATATATTCATGTTCCATCTTTAATCAACCTCTTTTATACTCCCTATTCAAAAATGACCAAATGAAATACAAAGGAATAAATGTTTGGCTTTGGCTTAGCATTCAAAAAAATTTAAATAGTAAGAACAGTAACAAATATAACGAAACGAGCAAGCTATTCCATGATACAGAGAGCAGATTTTAGTTATGAGGTCACAAATGGATAAGCAAAACAATCAATAATAAATCCCAAGAGGACAGAAGTTCTTGTGGCTTAAACCAGCAAGCTATGAGTCAATAACAACCTCGGAGGTGTCGCTGTACCATGAAAGAACAACTAAAAGAAGGACAGAAATATCGGCAGCGTGAAGATAAAAGAGACACGTTTCCTCTTAACTTCTGACTTGTGCAATGGAAATTCTGTAATGATAAATATCTATTGCATACAGCCTCGAGGTGAATATATAAATAACCTTTTACATGGCAAAGTACAGGTGAATGTCAAAATGATTCCCAATCCTTAGTATGTACACTCTACCCAGACATATGTACACATATACATCTATCTACCTATCTACCTATATATCACACACGCATTTACATTGCAAAGCTAGAAGGGAGATAAGCAGTCGAAGCAATGAACATTCCCGCGGCAAAGACAAGGATGCTGAGAGTGAGCCTCCCGACGTTGGCCCCGAATTCCTTGCAGATACCCCTGAAATGAAAAGACAAAGCATTTCCATAATCTTCCGTCTCTTGTATAATTTTCTCTTAAATCAGTGGTACAAACACAAATCTCTCTTATACAATCTGGCCTAATATTGGTTCAATATTCTTTTCGTTATGCAAAATATGGAGAAGACAATAATAAAAAAGATGATAATACAATAACAAAAATGGTAATCAGAACATCAATAATATAATTAGGAAAACACAATATCTACGATACAAAATAATAGAATATTAGGAAAATTTTGTAAGATAATGATAGTAATACCCACTATGACTATAATTTTTACAACTAATACATCAATAAAAAATAGTGATAACAGGAATACAATAATAAAAAATAATGAAAGACAATAACAAAATAACTGTAAATCATAATGAATCTTCACATATCAAAAAAATCACAGAGCAAAAAAATATATATACATATAAATCTTTTTACATTGTCAATGCCAGCATCAAAGGAACAGTAACAAAGCAACACACACCTGATAATATGAATGACAATATCAATCATATGAAACATAAAACATAAAAAATAAAGAGTAAGAGACAAACAATAACATCTGAACCGAAACCACAATTACCTGTAAAAGTACAGTTCACAGCCCGAGCAGCCGAGGGCCAACATGCACCGATGAAGAAGAAGAACACCAGCATGCGATTGGACTGCAGGAGGTTAGAGAAATCCAGCCGGGGACCGCGTGGATGAGGATGTAGGTGTAGGAGCGTAGTGCGTACTGGGGTGCATACTCCCACGTCTGGAATCCTTTGCCATACAGAAGGTAGTGGTCTGGTCCAGGAGAGAGAAAAATGGATTACGTTACGTTAGAGAGAAGGTTGGAAGATGGAGGGAGAGAGGAATGTGAAAAATTAAAGAAACATATATGTTATGTAAATCCAATACTACTCACCATAAGTGTGATAATCATATAAAGACATCAAACAAAATAGAGTCAAAAGTAATTATCACACTATCTTATTCATCAAAATCCGTGGTTCCCCATGGTCAAGACCCAAATGAGGCTCACCACGGTTTTTCTGAGGGTTGCCAGAGAATCTTAAAGGAAGAATAAAAGAATCCATAGCTGAATATGTCAGTAAAATCTAATGTTTTTGTATTATCACTTGCTTATTGAAATTCATGTATTGGTAATATAAACCTATAAAGTATAGAATATGTAAGCTAATGTACATCTGCTAGTATAACTACCATGAAAATGGTTGGAAATATTACTACATGTTCACACATTTAGGTCGCTAGCCCAGACGAAGACTGTCTTTAGGGTCAGATCCAAAAATGTTTGGAAAACGCAGATCTAAATCTATCAAAACAATACACAGAAAAACATAATAATCATACTAACTCATTCCTATCAATCAATGAATTCTTGAAATCAAATCTAAAACCACAATATATCAGTTGGTTGGTATTTATCATTGTATACTCCTTAATACAACCAATCAGACAACACCATGAATATAAAAAAACTATGGAAAATTCAAATCAACTTAGAAGACAACTACAAGCAATCTGAGAAACCCACCGGCTCCCAGTAGTTGTAGGTTTCATCGCAGTCGTTGATGAGGGCCCAGATGGCAGCGCAGAGTCGGGCAGAGAGCAGTGCTTTGAGAGCTGTGTATGCTCCAGGCGTCCAGGGCTCAACCACGCCTACTATATTCTGTCCAGTATCCTCTCTCTCTTTAGGACTGGGAAAAGAATATATACTTATCACACAAAAGAAATTAAAGTAATAATCTTCTGATTATTGACTATATGACTTACATGACACTACAGCAAAACAAAAATGGTTGATAGTTTACACAGGACCGCAACTGCCAGCAACCAAGCCTCCAACTCCAATTGACGAAATCATGAAACATATCCTAAACATAAAACTGCCACAAATATCACTGAATGAATTAAAACCCTTCCTCAACCAGGGGCTTCCCCTCCAAACCCTAAACTAATTGCCATATTTCCTAGCTGTTGTTATACTTTAATCGTGTAATATCATGAGTGATTTAGAAAAATTAGGCCACATTACACTATTGCAATGCTTGTCATACAAAATACCATGCGAGTACACTCAGTTCTATAACTTTCATGCATTCAATTACACCATATAGAATGAAAATATTTATTACAATTTTTTTTCTTTTGCTTTTTAACAATAGCATACACTTTAACTATAATCTTTTAGCAGAAACACAATCCACTTGTATACCATCCAAGTTTCTGCGAACTGGTGTTCACATTGCCACTAATGATGTCTGATTGCCCACCCTATTACTTACAATTACCTTCTCGTAATGATTTTTGACTTGTTTAAGTGGTAGAGATGGTCCAGTGATGGGCGATATTTTACAGAACAGAGTGGTTTCCATATAAATTGATAGATAATAGATAAATATATAATTAACACACTTATAGTGACTGATTTGTGGATATTCATATGAAGAAATAAATGTTAAAACAGCTTTTGTATCCTAAACACTAATGAATTAAACAAATTAATAACATCAGAAGTATAATCTAAAAGCATTTAGTATTCTCACTCTAGTCTTACTTAATTCTTATTATTTTCAGCAGCAAAAAAAAAAATGAATAATAATAATAAAAAAAAATAACTAACTAACTAACTAACTAAACTAACTAACTAAACTAAACTAACTAACTAACTAACTAACTAACTAACTAACTAACTAACTAACTAACTAACTAACTAACTAAATAAATAAATAAATAAATAAATAAATAAATAAATAAATAAATAAATAAAAAAATAAAACCAACAACAAACAAACAAACAAACAAACAAACAAACAAAACAAATAAATAATAAATAAATAAATAATAATAAATAAATAAATAAAAATCTTTACATTTCACTTATGCAAAAAAAAAAAAAAAAAAAAAAGGAGGGGGAGGGAATCTGAAAACATTTAATTGTATTGCTGAATTCAGAACTCCTCCTCTTGCTCGTCCAGAAAACTTGCCAGGACCAGCAGGGCAATAAGGCAGCGTTCAGAACCTCCAAGACCCTTTCTGCCCAGAAGGCAACTGGCTCGAATGTAAACATTCACTTTTTTACCATACCAGTGTCTTTATTTTACATGCTGCATAGGTTTTGTAACTCTTCTGATGCATATTTAACTTACCTGCAACTGACAAACACAAAAATTTCCTTTGATAACATCAATTAAAGGCCATAAAATTACCCATCAATATCTTTTGTGGTTACCTGTAACTGTCAATGTTTACATACAAAAGCTATTGTGACGTCATCTCGTCCTGCTCACCGACCTTCGCAGGAGGCGAGATGGACAACTGGTCTGGACGAGATATGGAGGTTGCCAAACGTCAAGATATCTCGTCCAACTGGTCTGTACGAGCAGGACGAGCAGTTCCAAGCACATCATAATCACCCTTATGCTGAGTTCAGACCTGCTCGTCATGCTTGTCCAGACCAGTTGGACGAGATGTTTTGACTGTTCGGAACCTCTACTATCTCGTCCCGGACAAGTTGTCCATTTCGTCCAGCTGGTCCTCCTGTGAAGATGGGCGAGCAGGACACAATGACGTCACAAGAGCTTTTGTATGTAAACATGACAGTTACAGGTAACCACAAGATATTAATGGGTAATTTCATGGCCTTTTATTGGTGTTATCAAAGAATATTTTCGTCTTTGTCAGTTGCAGGTAAGCTTAAATATGCATCATTTGAGTCACAAAACCTATTCAGCGTGTAAAATTGAAGACACCTGTATATAAAAAAGTGAATGTTTACATTCGAGCCGGTTGCATTCTGGGCAGAAAGGGTCTTGGCGATTCCGAACGCGGCCCCTCGTCCTGCTGGTCCTGGACAAGTTGTCTGGACAAGCAAGACGAGTTCCGAACGCAGCATTACATCTAAAATTGGCACACCTTGTACATAACATAATCAAATTGCAATACATCCCATACTTCAAAAGTAAAAAAATTCTAAATACAAATAAAAGACAAGAGAAAAATAACAAAACTACAAATGTGAACAGAACGTCAATGATAGCAAGTGTCAGTTCTTCAAAACATGTAGTTTCCTACTTACTGATGGCCACAGAGGAAAAGGGAGACAAACAACATGAAAAATAAGTTACATTACTATGATATTCGTAAAATACAAGAAATTATCATGTAAATATTGCCGATACCAGACTTTCCCTCTCGCGCCATTCCTTTCCTCTGCAAAGATTTTTCTACCGATACATGCCAAATATTCGCCGAATACATCTGTTATCCTTACGATTCTTTATTATTCGCCTGACGTTTAAGGATTTCTTTCTGTAATTCTTTTCTCGTATGGACATTGGCCCGATTCCTTGCTGTCGGCGCCATCTTTGCTCCTCCTTAACTCCGGTCGCGCACCAGCGATCATATCCGTCTCTCTACTTAATTGTTGAAAAGAAAGGATTTTTTAACATAAATTTCGATAATTAGTACGAATTTATATATATGTAATCCTTTTGTTTCCTATATTTTATGTCTAAAGTTAAAAAATCTAATATACAAGATAAGTATCTAAACTAGGTTTTCGCATTCGAATAAATTTGCACAAAATTTCACAGATATCATGTTCCAAAAATATATATTTCGAGACCCACAAATCCCACACCTTATTACAGAAAAACGAAAAAAAATCCTAAATATCCCATAAACCCTCTTCTTCTCACATAAAATGTAAAATAATTCCTTTTTGAACGCGAGGGGAGGAACAACATAAACACCTCTTCTTGTAATGGCTCTACAGACTAATTCCAGATTAAGGTAATTTCTCCGTTTTTTAATGGTAGTTAAGGTTGTTAGCACGTGTAGTTGACCAGATTAGAGGTATTTCTTGCTCGGTTTGAAGGAGTATTAATTATCTGGTTGTTTATTGACGAGAATTAATGTATTAAATATGGTTGTCTACTTATTTTATCACGATTTTTATTTATTTCGAAATGTACTCGTTTATTCATTCTATAAGCCAGACAGTGTCCAAAACGACAACGAATAATCAGTTGCATATATAATTTATAAGTGTTTCCAAAATTCAAACTTGATAAATAATTTAATTGCACTTGAAGTACCGTGACCCTGGTTGACCTGACGCAATATCCTGCAATTTAGTGATAAGGAAAAAATGCATTTTCTTTAATAGGTACTTACGTTTTTTTTCGATTTTGATAGCAACTTCTCTTAATTTACCAACTATGTATCTTTTTCTTTTGTGAAATTATTTTTATTATTATTATTATTATTATTATTATTATTATTATTATTATTATTATCATTAATATTATTATTATTATTATTGTTATTATTATTTTTATTTTATTATCATCATTGTCATTATTATTATTATTATTATTATTATTATTATATTATTATTATTATTATTATTATCATCATTGTCATTATTATTAATGTTATTATTATTATTATGTTGTTATTATTATTATTATTATTATTATTATTATTATTATTATTATTATTATATTATTATTATTATTGTTATTATTATATTATTATTATTATTATATTGTTATTATTACTATTATTATCATTCTAGTTATTATTATTGTTATTATTTTTTTAATATCGTTATTATTATTATCATCATATTATTACTATTATATTTTTATTATGTTTTTTTATTGTTATTAATTATATTATGATTATTGTTATTTTTGTTATTATTATTATCATTACCATTATTAATAGTATTAGTATTAGTATTAGTATTATTATAATGATAAGTATTATTATTATTACCTTTATGATTATTGTTATTATTAATAATAATGATAATAATGATGATGATAAATAACAATTATCATTATTGTTATTTATATTCTTATTCTTAGTGTTGTTGCTGTTGTTCTATTTTTTTGTTATATATGTTATTATTATTGTTTTGATGATGATTTTATTGTTGTTTTATTTATTATTGTTGTAATAATGATTATTATTGTTATTGTTATTATTATTATTTTATATTATTATTATTATTATTATTATTGTTTATTATTATTATTATTATTATTATTATATTATTATTATTATTATCATTATTATTATTATTATTATTACTACTATTATTATTATTAGTTAGTTAACTGTTTTTATTTCTGTTATCACCTTTTTATTACCATTATAATTGTTAAGTTAGTATTGTTATCATTGTTTAAAAATATATTATCATTATAATGATAATAATAATAATAATAATTATTATTATTATTATATTATTATTATTATTATTATTATTATTATTGTTATTACCTCTGCTACTATCACTTTTGTTATTATTATTATGACTACTACTACAACTATTATTAGTGTTTTTGTTATAACTATTATTACTATTATGATTGATATTTGATATTATTTTATCATAAGCATCATTATCATCATCATCAGCATTATTGTTATTATTATTATTATTATTATTATTATTATTATTATTATTATTATTATTATTATTAATATCAGTATTACTAGTAGTAGTAATAATTAGTGGTAGTATCATTATCATTGATATTATTTCATTGATATATTATTAATATTTTATGTTATTATCCTTATTTCATTACCTCAGAACTATGATGGTGATGAACTATGATGATGATAATGATGATAATGATGATGATGATGATATGATGAATGATAATGATATCGATAATGATGATGATGATAATGATGATGATGATGATGATAATGATAATAATGATGATGATGATGATGAGGAGGAGGAGGAGGAGGAGGGAGGAGGAGGAAGAGGAGGAGGAGGATTATGATGATGATGGTGATTATGATGATGATGATGATAGTGATTAGTAGTAGTAGTAAGAATAGTATTGTATTAGTTATCATCATTATCATTATTGTTGTTATTGGTATTATTATTGTTGTTATCATTATTACTTTTATATCACAATTTATACATATTTTTATTATTATTCTTTATCCTTATTATTATTGTTATTATTATAATTATTATATTTATTGTCTGTTGTTATTACATTTTTTTGTTATTATTTTTTTGTTATTATTATTGCTATTAGTTTTTGTTATTATTATTATTGTTATTGTTATTGTGATGACTATTTTTATTATTGTTATGATTGTTTTAGTATTTATTAGAATTATATTATTATTATTTATTATTATTTGTTTTTTGTTATTATTATTACTGGTATTATTACTGATATTGTTATTATTGGTGTTATTACTGATATTGTTATTATTATGGTATTATTATTATTATTGTTATATTATTATTACTAATTGTTGTAGTTGTTCAGGGTGGTTGTGTTATTGTCATTGCTATTGTTGTTATTATTTTGTTGTAGTTTTGTTATTAGTATTAGTATTATTATTGTTTTATTATCCTTTTCAGTATTATCACTGTTATTATTATTATTATTAACCAACATTATTATTATTATTATTATTACTATTATCAGTATTTTTCATGTGATAAAATTGTCATTATTGTTATCGATATTATTGATTCTTATTATTGTTGTTGTTATTATTATTATTATTATATTGTTATTATTAATGTTTTTATTGTTATTTGTATTAATATATATTATATATTATATTACCATCATCATCACATCATCATCTTCATCTTCACCATCACCATCATCATCATCACCACCACTACCACCACCACCACCACACCACCACACACCACACCACCACTACCACCATCATCATCTTCATCTTCAGCACCACCACCATCATCATCATCATCAT